AAGAATACGTTTCCAACTACTGAAATGTATTTAGTAGTATACGAATGAAATTCAATGTTTATTATTTGACAAAATGTAAGTATTGTTATAAGGACGAGTATTTTATCTTCTATATTTTTCAATTTAGGCGAGGATATCCCTCTCGATGATTATAAATCTATAGTATGTTATAAATGGTACATATGCTAAAGATTCCCTAGTTGTTTAGTAGTTATAGGCAACTGGTAAGAAGGCATTGATTTTGGCTACTCGTTACTTATTAATTGGGGTTATCTTAAGTCTTAGGAAACAGGTGAATCGTATGAGATTTGAGTCTGAATCCCTCAGTATCCTAGTTAAGTGTGCTAAGACTGAGATATCCAGGTTTCAATTAACCATCTGATCGACACGACGTGATAATGCTGATTGTTTACTGAGTGCTAACCCATATCGTATTGTTTTGGCCTAAATGGTAGTCGAATTTTGTAGATCGAGCTTAGCGCGGATATAAGTCACAGTACATTATATTTTTAGCGTTCTATAGCTGAAAGTAGTTCCCGGGAATTCTTACTTGACCAACAAATCTTTCTGGTTGATATTCGTCTGGTTGTTATATCTTTTATTTTAAGGGAATCGATAAGGCCTGAGAAAATTAAACTCGTATATACTCATTTTGTGGGCATTAACCTCAGAATATCTAAACGAAAGAACTTAAAACTGAAGGGAAGGTAATAACACTATCATCATATATACAAAATCAATGTTGTTGAAGATCTCTGTTAATGAGATATCTGTTTAAATATGATTAATAAATGGAATATTCAGTTAAGGTTTTAGATAAATGGATTGATTGTAAAGAAGTTTTCATCTGGCTAGACTCACTTGTAATAAATTACATAATGTAGATGAGATTCAACTATCTTAAAACTGAATTCTTCTTCAAGAATGTTATATGCTTTTCAAACCCTTGATGAATGGTTTAAAACAAAGTGGGTTCGATTCTATATGAGGTTACAAGTCTACTTAGCTGGTGAGTATATTTAAAGAAATAGCGATTATATAACTAATTAGTTACGTTATCTAACTGACTGATCATTGTGAGTGCAAGTAAGGAGTAAGGGAACTTCAAACTTATCAAAAAACTGCTTACTGATTATTTCTACTACCTTCATTAACAATATCATTGGTTATTAATTACATTGACGGTCACATTGAAAAAACAAATCAAGATCTTTAATTAAGCAATTAAATTACTTCTATTACTTGCTCACATATCTTTTCTATAAGCAATATTATCGTTGATAAATTTCAGTGGTTGGTTATACCTTAAACTTTCTAACAAACAAACGAACTGAGATTGTAAAATATAATGCCCGTAAATGTCCTGGTACGGCCGAAGGTGGTGAGAATCAGACCGCCCTATTCAAATGCTCTCACATGGCCATGCGTATATAGCCTCTGCCGGAGAAGTCTTACTCACTGCCTTCTCGTAGAGGGGGTGTTGTTTACGGAATTGAGAGAGCGGAAAGTGAATGTCCGGCACTTTAACCGGGTTGGTGAACATGGAGAGTTCACACAGGGGAGTTGGAAAACCATCATTCCAAACCGATGGTGCACATTGCCTCCAGGATCCTGAAGGAACAAATGGCGTATGAACCACCTGTTGGTCAACGATTACCATGAGCGTTCATCTCCTTAAGTTGCTCCTCTACCTTGTGGATTAGACTATTAAGTTGAAGGCTCCGAGTGTGGCTTCCTAAGAAAACCATCTACTTCGGTTCGGGCACACGGTTAGTATCACAACGCACATACAAATCAAGTGACTTATGTAACTCATGTGTATCTGATGCCCCTTTTTACCAATATTTATGTGTTCAAATGAATAAATTTATAATTAAACAAATAAAGTAAAACATAATCTTACAGAATTTAGACTGCATCAATCTAACCACTTCTTAAAAAAATACTTTTCGGTTCACAACAATACACTTGTCCAATCTCTATTTTACATTATTCAGTAAATCTTTGGAAGTTTCCGAAAGTCAGGCTGTTCAATTACTTTGTCTATCTTGAACTTTTCTCCAAAATGATTTGACGGAATCGGGTTTTCAGATGATTTTCAGTGAATCAACTGTCATCTTGACGGTAAATATCAAACAGAGAAATACAGGAAACTCCATTTTTTTGAAATGTTTCATCGACGCACAGGGGGTCAATGACCCTCCTGGCTTTGGACCACTATTACAGTGTTCATCGCCCTTACTGACATGTTTGACCTACTTAAAAAGAGAGGTTTTCTTCAGCTATCAGCGTTTCACAAATTTCGTAGAAGTTCGCCCCACTTTCACAAAAAATTGGTTATTCACTCATTTTGCTTGGTTAGTAAATCTTTATCGTTCATAATAACAAAAGGCATTACCTCAGTGGCATATTCATAGTGTATTTGAAGGTCTTCTCGTGTTTATATGTATTTACAACAAATTGATATACATCATTACGAGGATAAGAAATAAATATTAATTAGGTCCAAACTCAAGAGAAACCACTAGACACTTCTCCTTGATTTCTAATGGACTTCAGCTGTCATTTCATGATAAATAACAACCTTCTGTTGGCAGGCATTCCCTTTCCAATTGGTGTTTCATTCTATTAATATCTGTCGACATAAGTAGTATACACCACATTACCACTGAAAACTAGCGAATAAAGGGCGGTTGTTTTATATTGACTGAACTGCTACGTGTTTACACTAAATCACTAGATCTGAGTAACTAAACTTACCTCCACTGTGAATGATGATTTTCAAAATGAATTATACAGTCTTTTAATTCATCGTAGTTTTAAGGGTTGACAGTGGTGGTAAGCGATATGAATAAGCTTTAGACTGTTTCATATTCAACTCCAACTGGAGCCCTTCTTGGGCTATTGTCGGTTCCAAGAAGGATGGGTGACTTTATATCGTGGAAAACTAACTCGTTAAAAAACGCTAACCAGAAAAAATAATTTAAACCATTTGAGCTCTTCCCTGGGAGTTAAAAGGTCTTCATTTAGAAGAGCTATGAAGTCTCATGGTGAAAGCCGAGTTTCTTTGAAAGCCACGAGGTTGATGCCCCTTCTAACAACCAGAGCAACCATTAATTTAGCTACATGGAATGCTCGTACATTGTGGGAAGCCAGTAGAGTCATCCAAATTGCTGCAGAAATGAAAGGATACAACCTGAAGGCTTAACAACAAAGACAAGCTTCAAGGGAGCTGCTGTTATACGCCGACCATGAAGAAGAAAATGCTCCACATACACAAGGAGTTGCATTGATGGTATTTCATATTCATTTAATTGTAAACATATGGCATCTACCATATGCAAAAATATATGGTGGTCTATTTATGACATTTTTATGACACATATGTTCACGTTATGATAAATTTACATTTTATTAATGACAGAGGTATTTTTATTAGATTTATGTTTAACATGGTATAATATTGATGCAACCCCTAATTTTGTATTTTGAAACAATTTTATCTCTATAAGAAAAGATGAATAGTGGCTAGCAGTGAAATCCAGGATGCGCGTTTCGTCCTATTTGGGACTTGTCAGCTGGATGTACCTGCATCTCAGAGTTGATGTCCACTCCGAGACTCGGACTCAGTACTGTTCGCTTCAAACGCTATCGTATTATCCACTTGGCTACTGAGTCCAGATAGCCGCTAGCTTATGCAATAGGGTGAAGTTTTAATTCATTTGGTATTGTTTGTTTGAATCTTCCTATTGATGTTTAGGACTGCCATTGATCTTTGCTTATGATGTTTATGACTGAAGGCAATATCGAGGCAATCCACACAGGATCCACATATACTAATAAGACACTGATTAATTGCAGTCCTAATCATCAATGGAAAGATTCATGTAAACAATACCAAGTGAATTTAAACTTCTACACAAGATACTCCATGGTCGTTCACTGGATACCATCAGCGACAGCCTACTGTGGAAGAGAACAAACTAGCTTTCCGATTAAGAGGAAATCAGGAAAAATCGTCAGAAGTAGATAAGATATATATGTCGTATTTGTCAAACTGTATCACGCGGCAAGCCCTAACTTGGAATCGTGATGGGAAACAGAAAAGAAGAAGGTCAAAGAACACACTATCTTAGAAATTGAAAACAGACATAAGTAGGATGAATAGGAACTGGAAAAAAATTGTCAAGGACAGATTCGGACGGAGAATGCTAATGAGCTGCAAATACTCTTCCATGAGGGGTAACAGGCGTAGGTAAGTAAGTAAGTAAGTAAGTAAGTAAGTAAGTAAGTAAGTAAGTAAGTAAGTAAGTAAGTAAGTAAGTAAGTAAGTAAGTAAGTAAGTAAGTAAGTAAGTAAGTAAGTAAGTAAGTAAGTAAGTAAGTAAGTAAGTAAGTAAGTAAGTAAGTAAGTAAGTAAGTAAGTAAGTAAGTAAGTAAGTAAGTAAGTAAGTAAGTAAGTAAGTAAGTAAGTAAGTAAGTAAGTAAGTAAGTAAGTAAGTAAGTAAGTAAGTAAGTAAGTAAGTAAGTAAGTAAGTAAGTAAGTAAGTAAGTAAGTAAGTAAGTAAGTAAGTAAGTAAGTAATGTAGATCATGGTTCCAACCAACAAATCCTAAATTAAAAAGTGACTACACTTGACACTTATAAATCTCATTCAAATTCATTACAAATAATGTTCCAATAGACTTGAAAAGTTTCATGTATCTGTGTGTTCTTTTCACTCTTTTCATCAAAAAACAACAACAAGAACTAAAACAAAACAAACAAACTGATATTCCAACTATCAATTACTGATTATTTCTATTTCAATTGTATCATAATAAAACTGATTATATCTGTCTAGTATGTTAGTTATTTCATAACAATAAACATTCTATATACATCTTTATTTGAAATCTTTTAGTTATTATATATATATATCTATATGTATATTGGATCTTGAATGGGAAATTCTCATATTGGGTGTGTACTATTCACTTTTTCAAACTTACAACATCATGCCTATTTAAGACAATCATAGATTTTATTATTATTAATAGTAATAATAATAATAATAATAGTAGTAGTAGTAGTAGTGTTGGTAGTAGTAGTAGTAGTAGTAGTAGTAGTAGTAGTAGTAGTAGTAGTAGCAGTAGTAGTAGTAGTAGTAGTAGTAGTAGTAGTAGTAGTAGTAGTAGTAGTAGTAGTAGTAGTAGTAGTAGTAGTAGTATTGGTAGTAGTAGTAGTAGTAGTAGTAGTAGTAGTAGTAGTAGTAGTAGTAGTAGTAGTAGTAGTAGTAGTAGTATTGGTAGTAGTAGTAGTAGTAGTAGTAGTGTTAGTAGTGTTAGTAGTAGTATTGTTACTACCATCAATACTGACATACCCATAACACTATACATTGTAATAATAACAATAGTAATAATAATAATAATGATACTAATAGTGATAACTTAAATGCTTGAAATCATAATAATAACGAGAAGGTGTTATTAACTCATATAACTTGTGATTCCCCTCTTCTACTTAAATCTTATTTACCATTACCACATTTCACTAGAATTTCAATTATCCATTATCTCTTAGTGAGACTAGCTCCAAAAGAAATACAGTTTGGGATAAATATACACACATACACACATGCACACACGTCAATAAATATATATATGTATGTATGTATGTAGGTGTATAAGTATTATGTAACATACACAAGTACACATTTTTTTTAGACATAATAAACATGTGATCATTTATTCTATTTACATATTCATTCAATGTTCAATGTTCAATTGATATTCACATATGTTTGTTTATCTTTTTTTCCAAAAAAGCGTTCAATTCAAAAATAGAGAAAAACAAAAAGAAAACATGAATAAAAATGTAAATGGACAGTCTTTCGATGATAATAAACATAATGGTGATTTGTTATATTCTGAATAGTATTACTAATATAATTATTAGTAGTATCGATAAACAGAGTTGTTTTTTTTAATCGTTTTTGTTTTTTTGAATGTGAGAAACTATTTCAACTGTTTTTATTTAACTATTACTTATGTATATATTCGAGTCAATGAGCGTGTATGCGTGTGTGTATGTGTGTCTTTGTGCGTCTGTGTGTGTGTGTGCGTGTGACTATTGACTTTTGAAGTGTTGGACAGATGGAACATGCTTCTTTTTCACTTGATGTAACAAGTATGAAGTGAAGTGTAAATAAGTAACTAACTAACTAGCTAACTATATAAGATAACAAAATATGTTACCAATAAATTGAAATGTTGACGTGTAACCATGGTTACCTGAATAACTGAAGTAAATAAACTATCTATAGATAGAGATCATTCTCAATTTAACTATTAAAAAATAAAATAACAACACGAATAATCATGAGGTTTGGTATGTTGTAAACATGTGAATATTTCTTCGATGAATAGTTATCAATGTATATAAGAGAAAAGGTTTTAACAAGGACTCTTTATCAGAAGAAGGTTGATGTTAGATGGTGGTTGGAGGTAGTCGACAGGAAACCCTGAACCTCCAACCACCATCTAATCTCAGTATATAGTGCCTGCAGTGTCGAGTCACCTAGACTGGTGGCCACATTGCAACATGATCGATAGCATTCGATCTGCACTAATAAGGACTAGACACGCATGACATTGATCGCCACCCAGTGATCAATCAATTTTGATTACATCTCAGTCCTACAGGAGTTTGGTCGCGTCTCGGATAGCTCGGTGGTAACGTCTCTGACTGCGAAGCTGGATGACACGGAATTGAATCCGTCAGGGAGCACCAGTTCACTCAAATTCATAGGCACACCTTGCTGACGAGTGCCATGTAGTATGGAACACGCGTTAACAGGGTTTCCTGTTGACTACCTCCAACCACCGTCTAGTCGGAGCAAATAATGAGAACTTTGTACAGTTGTCAATCTTAGTAGAAACTAACTAAAATATTATTGACAGAAACCTAATTTTGATGAGAATATAATTTATGGATGACCTTTGAGAGACGCTAAAGTGACCATGAGAGTGTCTACCTCCTTGATAGAGCTAAATGAAGATTATAACGCAGTTTGAAGAATAAAGACAATGACTTATAGTTGATGGTTAGGGTTAGGAACTAGATTTATGGTTTTTATCACGAATTGATATCAGCTAAAATGCGAAGACGCTATTTGGATGAATGAATGAGTGAATTTCACGCGGAAATCCAAGACCTGTTATTATTAATCTGATTGGTTCATCCATAAATTATAGTCTCGTCGTCATTTTGGTTAAAAAAATCTTTCTTATTTATTTTACATGTCTAAAGATGTACACAACTTTTCATATAATCAGTTTAAATCCATACTTTCTATCTACATAGTAAGATGGTATATGCTTATAAGATGTTAACTAATGAGATTATAATATCTGGACTCAGTAGCTGGGTGTATAACGCGATGGTGTTTGAAGCCAAAGGTACTCGGTTCGAGTCTTGCAGTGGACATTATCTCTAAGATACAGGTGCATCCAACTTACCAGTCACAAATAGGATGAAACACACATCCTGGATTTCACTCCTAGCCACTATCCATCTTTGCTTGTAATGCTTGTGAATTAAGGCAATATCGAGGCTATACGCACAGTATGCACATATTACCAATAACAGATTGATCCACTGCAGTCTTAAACATCAATTAGAAGATTCAAGTAAAAAACAATACAAAATGAATTTAAACTTGATCACATTGCACAAGCTAGTTGCTATGAGAACTCTGTAGCTGAATGAATAAAACGACAGTATTTAAAGTAAACGCTATTAGATTCGAGTCTTGGAGTAAATATCAACTGTGAGATATAGATATATCCAGCTGACGAATCTCAAATAGGACGAAACGAACTTCCGGAATTCTACTACTACTATCACTTACACTCTGAATATAAACTTATTACCAACCTAAAATTCTTATTAAACTTAATTTTATTAGAATAAACTACATTGAAATGATACATTCTCTTATCAACTATCTTATCAAAAATTATAAAAAATTTTTTTTTCTTTTTTTATCATTACGACTATTCTGTAACATTTTGATTTGTAATTTGCGCAACCTCAATTTCCCCCCGCCCCTTAAAAATAAAACCATAATGAACAAACGATTTTCCTTTTTCATGTTCTCACATTATTTGGTTATGATTACTTCCTTTGTGTTGGAAAAAAAAGAGAGAAGAACGAAGAAAAATGTACACACACACACACACCCCATAAAGAAAAGTCTTAGTCACAACATACACACATACACACACACACCCAGAGGGAGGGAGGAACGGAGGGGGAGAGTGACATGAATACAATTGTGTATCATAAACATACATACAAACATTATATATAAAGTTCAATATAATGGTTATTACATAATTAGAAATTGTTAAAAAACGAGAAAAAAAAGAAAGAAAAATGAAAAAAAAGAAAAAAAGATTTTTCTTGAAAATAATCTCACTATTGTCTTTGTTCCGGTTAACACATCATTTTTGACAATTTAGAATAATTGGATATAAAGAACATTTCTATGTATAATTCTATTCATACTACTACTAATATTAATAGTAGTATTAGTAGTAGTAGTAGTGTGAATAGTAGTAAGGATTGTACTTTGTATAAATATCTATTGTAATTTCTAGTTATGTTTACACATATTTTTTTTACTTGGATTACATTGGATATTTCGGGGGGATATATCGAAGCAAATCCAAACCTAAACAGACAGACACACACACACACACACACGAAAATCAAACAATCCAACAATAAATACAACTGTGAATATGAGATATAGTAGTCTGTTAGGTATAAAACTATATTGTCTTTAAAAATGGCATTATCATATAAGGGATGATTGTTTGTAAAAGAAAGAGATGAAGAGTTAGTGTAAACACCCGTTGTGTACGTGTGTGTATGTGCGTGTGTGTGTGTGTTAAGGGAGCATATTATTAGGTTTCCTGCTTTCAAATCTCCAACTTATCTATTACTTTCAATATGAATGATTCCTTTTTTTTCTCAGATAATAGGAGGGAAATTCTTTTCAAAAAAAATCATTCTTGAAGGGGAAAAAAGGAGAAAGAACTACAACTTGTACTTTTATGGTTGTCACGGTGATAATCCCGACTAAAATATCTTGATCACTATTAGTTACTTAGGTTTATTATTATTATTATTATTATAAATAATTGTAATTTACTGACGTTTTTTAGATTTGACCACAAATATACTTTTTTTTAGAAAACAAAATAAAATATCCTAAAAACAAATGATTAGTAGTACTATTTTGATGACGATCTTAACTGTTTCTGTAAGGATACATAGTCTTTTACTTATTGAATAAGGTGACTTTTTCTGGTTAGCGTTTTTTTTTAGTGAGTTAGTTTTCTACGGGATGAGGTGGCCCAACCCTCCTCCTTGATCAAGGCTTAGGACCGACAGTAGCCTCCGAAGGGACTCCAGGCGGAGTTTTGAATAAAGTGAACCTTAACTAATCTGTTTCAGTGAACAAGATTCTCTTGATAAATAGATAGATAGATAAATAAAATGGTCGAAAGTCGGTGAGACTAGGTAAATTAAAGGGAAACAGACTGGGAGACAAAGAGAGTGTGAGAGAGAGAGGGACAGAAAACAAAGGAAGGTGAATAGTTTACAAGTATCCTATTCTACTATCTGTCTAGCTACAATTATTGGTGATATAATTTAGATCTTAGTATTTGATTTTGTATTTTCATATTTCCTTTCCTTATTTTTAAGAGTTTGATCACTATTATTATAGTTGTTTGCACTGATTTCTGGTGAAAAAGTATTGTGGAAGATTTCTTTTATTAAATAAAGATAATATGATCAGATTATGGTTGTTACCGTTGTTAACCTAAAGAAATTCCGATCAGATTAGACAAAATGTACGGTACTATTGTGGTGTATACTACTGATGTCGACAGATATAAGTAGTATGTATCATCAATTGAAAGTAAAATGTCTGATGACAAAAAATTACCAAGATCTAAGAGAGCGAGAACGAAAACAAAGAATGATCGGTATGGAAACAAAGAAACAGTTTAGTTTGGAACAGTTGATTAACATTTCACAACTAAAGTATATACTGTATAGTTATCAGATTCTACTAAGATATTGTGTAATTTGTGTTCAAATACATTTAGTTATCCCCACTTGTGTTCTCGTCCACTACACTATAATAGCGAAGTTATATGAAGTAAGATACAAACCTTAACTCGAGAAGCATCGACAGTATTGGCTAAATTCATGTACAATCAAGGGAGAACACTTCTTAAAATGGGTATATAGGGTTATTTATAAGAGTGTGCAGTTAATGTGTCGAAATTATATTAAGAAAGAGTGTAGTGAACAGAACACGAATGGGGACAATCGAATTACATTTAGCACAAAATTACAGAGTTGCTTGGTAAAATAGAAAAATCATACTATAATACTTAATTTGCAAAATGTTCAATAATTGTCTCGAACTTCGTTGTTCTTGCAGTTCCATACTAATTGCT